CCCGCTCCCCGCGCCGCCGCGCTCCTCGCCCGCGCCTGCCCCAGGATGGTCCGTGCGAGGCACCAGCCCGGTGGGCTTTGCCTCCTGCTGCTGCTGCTCTGCCAGTTTATGGAGGACCGCAGCGCCCAGGGTAAGCGTGGGGAGATGCGCTGGGGAGGTTCGGCGGAGGGCAGGGGCTTCCACTTTTCTCGTCTCCACTGGGTCTGCTCCGTGCTACACGACTCTCGGGAGATGTTGGACCCACTGAACGACTCCGGGATGGAGAGGAGTGGGAAAACAACGCAGTGACACTTTAGGACTGGGAGCGGAGTTTGGAGTTCGCCTATCCTTAAAAAGGCAAGGGAGTGAGCTGGAGTCTCTCAGTAGTTAGGGTTAGATGCTAATTTCTGGCCATGATGACTTGAGAGGTTATCTCCCCAGTTTGGCTCTGAAGAAGGGGACAAGCATCAATAGCCTGGAGATTTCAGTCGACCCATTTGCAATCAACCTCTCTCCCTCCCACATCTTTTGGATACTTTAAAAAATGACCCGGGGGGTTGGGGGAGAGAGACAGTTTTCTTCGGTGGCTGGGGGACGTGTTTTCAGAAACTTTGCCCAAACTTGGAAATGTGGGTGCTGAAAATTTGAGAGGGAAGTAGATTTCTGACTAGTGAGTGTTTCTTCCAACCCCCTCCCCCAACCACGCAAAAAAAAAAAAAGAGAGCCAAATTATTACCCCGGAGTGTTTTAGGTACCTTACGGTTTTTTCCCTTCGCCTCATTCCTCTGACTGTTAACTTTCTGTAAAACAGTGAGCAGCCCACAACTGATTCAAATTCTGAGATGGATTAAGAGCAAATTTCTCAAGTTTGTCTTTTAAAAATAGCTTTGTGTATTTCAATTATTCTTTGGGCAGAATTTTTAAAATATCAATAGTAGCAGCTTGCCGTCCAATTTTTGTTAAAGTCATATTTGATGATTCATGGGAAGTCTTTCTCAACAAAATTCGAACATTAAAAAGGGGGAAGAGGCAGAAATTACTTGAAAAGATTTATTGGACGATATGAGGTAGGTGTATATAACCATGAACTGGTAGGAAGCCTCCCCCCTTCAACGTGTCACTTTCCCTGCTTTAGCGTTCACAGTTAAGTGTTTTGTAAACTCCCTCCTGGACACTGCCCGTCGCCGTCTGCACGGCACTACTCCGGGTTGCCCGCCTTTAGGGGAGAGTCGCTGCATGGGTGCCGGGGACGTGGGCGCCAGGGAAAGCACCCTTGGAGATTTCGAAAGATCGCGGTGGCCTCGGGCGTTCTCCGGGTCTGGCGGATTGCAAAACGGGCCCGTCGGGCGGGCTGCGCCTTGAGGCCGCGCGGGGTAGCGCCGAGCTGGGCCGGCTTGCTTTTTTGCTTTCATTTTTCACAAGTGCCTTTTGCTTGATCTGTTCCTGCGAGTGTGTCTTTCTCTCTCTCTCTCTCTCTCTCTCTCTCTCTCTCACGTTCTCCTACTTTCTTAACCCCTGTCACAAATAATTCCCATACCGACTACATGAAACCAACATGTAAAAACATCCGTCGCATCCTGTTTTTGTCAGGTTCTTTCATCTGCTCTTCGAGTCGCTGCAGGTTATGAAATGGGACGAATAAAAGTAAACAGTCTAGTAAAAGTCAATGCAAGCTGCACGTGTTGTGTCTGGGTCACTGGTAACTGACATTGATATGGCTGGGGCGCTCTGGCTTCTCCCTCTCGCCCTATCTCCCCCTCGCCCACCTCCCACGTCTGTGATCAGGACTCCCCCACCTCCCTTTCGTCACCACTGCACCCCCTTCAATTTATTTTCCGTTTTTCTCCCCGATCTGTCTCTTTCCTTCCTGCACATTCGCCCCCTCCCCATCCTCGCCGGGTCTACTTCGCTCGCCTCCTTCCCCCTACCCCGCTGTCCACTCTTCCACCTCTCCACCCCTGTCTCTTCACAGCTGGGAATTGCTGGCTCCGCCAAGCAAAGAACGGCCGCTGCCAGGTCCTGTACAAGACGGAACTGAGCAAGGAGGAGTGCTGCAGCACCGGCCGCCTGAGCACCTCGTGGACCGAGGAGGACGTGAATGACAACACGCTCTTCAAGTGGATGATTTTCAACGGGGGCGCCCCCAACTGCATCCCGTGTAAAGGTAGGACTTCTCCTCCCCAAATTGCAGGCCCTCAGTAGAGGGCGTCTTACCCTCAGCTTCCCCAGTCCATGGCTGGGGTTTGGGACTAGGAGAGCTTTGTTCCCGGGCTCCCCTTACCTCCCCGCCCCCCGCCTCAGCTGGGTAAGACTTTTGGTCCGAATCCTGCCTGTTGCAGGCTGCTGACAAAACAAGGTCCGCAGAGGTTCCCAGACTTCTGAGCCAAGTGTGGAGGTGAAGCCAGCCATCCTGCACTCCTTGAGAAAGATTTGGGATTGGGGCACAGCCCACGGTCCCCAGCCCTTCGCTCCCTACTAGTCGTCTAGGAGAGAGCCTGGGCCCCTCCAGCGCAAACTCAGGAACTCGGGGCTGCACGATTGCGCAAGGCACGCGCAGCCCTCTTGGCTGAACTACAGGCTGCCTGCCCCTGGTTTTAGTCCATGCCTCTTTCCAACTCACAGAAACGTGTGAAAACGTGGACTGTGGACCCGGGAAAAAATGCCGAATGAACAAGAAGAACAAACCCCGCTGCGTCTGTGCCCCGGATTGTTCCAACATCACCTGGAAGGGTCCTGTCTGTGGGCTAGACGGGAAAACCTACCGCAATGAATGTGCACTCCTCAAGGCCAGATGTAAAGAGCAGCCAGAACTGGAAGTCCAGTACCAAGGCAAATGTAAAAGTAGGTCCTACCCTTCTGGAGCAAGACCCCAGCCCCCTCCTCCAGCTTTGTACCTGAGGTGGAGCCACTGGAAGACCTTGGGGGATGGTGCAGTCCACAGTAAGAGCCTAACAATAATAATAGTGATATCAAATAAAGGAGCTCTTTTCTAACTTCTAAAGACTTATTAAGAAAGCTGAAGAGAACAACCTAGAGTCAGATTTTCTCTTAAAAATCACAGGGCTCCCAAAGTACCTTTTGAAAGCTGGATGCTTCAGCTTTATCATTTCCTTGATAATATCAAATGTTCACCCCCTAAAGACCAGAAGGTGACCATTAATGTGTTTCCCTCTTTGTTTCAGAGACTTGTCGGGATGTTTTCTGTCCAGGCAGCTCCACATGTGTGGTGGACCAGACCAATAATGCTTACTGTGTGACATGTAATCGGATTTGCCCAGAGCCCACCTCCTCTGAGCAATATCTCTGTGGAAATGATGGAGTGACCTACTCCAGTGCCTGCCACCTGAGAAAAGCTACCTGTCTGCTGGGCAGGTCTATTGGATTAGCCTACGAGGGAAAGTGTATCAGTAGGTATTCTGGATTGAGGAAGGCAAAAGAAAAAACAGAGTATTGAAAAGACTAGTTCCAGTGTTAAAACTGTGGGGTTAATAAATAAAGCCCAAGGCCTCCCAAATACATACTTTCACCAGACAGAGGAACACTCTCCAGCTTGGGTAAACTGTTGTGACCACAACATTCCTCCTGGAAATGATTGTCTTCTGAAAGCATTAATGTATATATTCAAATACCAGCAAGAAGCAGTACACAATATTCCATCTTAGCAAACTTAGAACTCGATTTTACACATTTTTTTTAAGTGCCAGACTTGCTGGAAGCAAAAAATAATTACTTAACAGTTCCTAAAATCTGTTATCAGATTCTGGTAATTGATGGAATTCTTTCTTTTTTTAAAAGACCCCACTTTTGGGAAATAAGATAGTTATTTAACTCAAGAATACTGTGAAATCCTCTTCCAAAAAATACTGTTTTTATGCACTAATGTAGTATGTAAGAAACGGGGGGTGGGGAGATTGAGCTACAATTTTATTAGCAAGCCTTTTTGTGTAATATCTCCATTACCTTCATTAGTAAGTAATGAGATATGAATTATAGTTTATTGATACGGGACTAGAGAAAGGGAGACAAAGGAAGAATGGGGAAATCAGTTTACTCATCACGGATCTATTATATCCTAGAAGCAAAGTCCTGTGAAGATATCCAGTGCACTGGTGGAAAAAAATGTTTATGGGATTTCAAGGTTGGCAGAGGCCGGTGTTCCCTCTGTGATGAGTTGTGCCCTGACAGTAAGTCGGACGAGCCTGTCTGTGCCAGTGACAATGCCACTTATGCCAGTGAGTGTGCCATGAAGGAAGCTGCCTGCTCCTCAGGTGTGCTGCTGGAAGTAAAGCACTCCGGATCTTGCAACTGTAAGTGTGATTTTTAACCTTGCTGCAATTTAAGCCTTTCCCAGGCAAGCCCTAGGGAATGTACACTTAAAAAGCACGCAAACCTTCCCACATAAGCCTGTTTCTGTTTAAGTTAGGTAGCTGCTAGATTTCACCGGCAATTCAGTGATCCACAGAAAAACTCTCTCCAATGTTTGCTGGCTGTTAGGATTTATCCAGTGATCATCATCATGGTGTTGCCTCTAAAAACCTGTTTCCAGTTGTTTGCCCCTAATTCTTTTGCTTTAGTAGTGTGCTTTGCTGTTTGCTTTATTAACACTTGAATCTAAACTAACTGCTTCAAAAGTTTTGGGGGTATTTTTCTGAAGACAGTTTTATATTATCACATATGACTGCTGCTTTTAGCAGTTGCCTCTACTAACTCTGAATTAAGGACCCAAAGCAGTTATATCTAGAACACAAGAGCGCTTTTTATCTAATTTCAGGAATCTGCCCGTAAAACCTGAGCCATTGATTCTTCAGAACTTTCTGCAGTTTTTGACTTCATAGATTATGGTTTTTTTTTTTTTTAATTTAAACTTATTGCATAACAGCAGATGCCAAAAACAAAAACAAAAAAGCATCTCACTGCAAGTCACATAAAAATGCAACGCTGTAATATGGCTGTATCAGAGGGCTTTGAAAACATACACTGAGCTGCTTCTGCGCTGTTGTTGTCCATATTTAAACAACAGCTCCCCTGTATTCCCCCATCTAGCCATTTCGGAAGACACTGAAGAAGAGGAAGATGATGAAGACCAGGACTACAGCTTTCCTATATCTTCCATTCTAGAGTGGTAAACCCTCCACCAGTGTTCAATGTTGACATAGCCTTTGGGCAAAAAAAAAGAAAAGAAAAAAAAAAAGAAAAAATATATTGTCCATACTGTAAATAAGTGTATGCTTATTTATTTGGGGGGAAAACTATACATTAAAGGACCTTTGTTCTAAAGCTCTCTCCCAGGCCACCTTGTTACTCATTGGACACGGAGAGGCAGTCATTGTGAGGTCTACTGGATGAGGCCCATAGTTGAGACTTGTAGACATTTATTTATACTGTGTCATGTTTTATAATTTATACATAAAATGTCTGGTTGACTGTACACCTTGTTTTTGAAGAAATTTATTCGTGAAAGGAAGAGCAGTTGTTATTTATTGTGAGGTCTCTTGCTTGTAAAGTAAAAGCTTTTTTTTTGTAAACCATTTAAGTCCATTCCTTACTATTCACTCACTCATCTGTCTCCCTTTATTTCACTATTGTTAGACTCTTCTCCAGTTTTAACAAACTTGCATGTCAGTTTCTGTCATGTTTATTTATTGGATTCTCTGCTGCCTGAGCTGTACATACATGATCCCTCGGGTTTTGTTTACAAGGAATCTTGACTGACCAAAAGGCATTATAACTTTGACTCAAATATAAGGTACAGAGGATATACATCTTTGAGGAAATTCCTACTTCAGTTCTCTTGTTATGATGAAGACATTTGTGAGAGAGGGGATGATAACAATGTTATAATTCTAGTAATATACTTTTAAGATGTTACAGATCCAAAGAATGGAGTGATGTGGGTGTCAGGAAACTAAAGGAAGGCGAAGTCTACATATTCAACCTTTTGTTAGGTGTTTTCTTTAAGCTAGTTGGCTGTACCTTTTAAATTAGTTCTTTTTCAACCAATGTGTCACTAAAAGTTATATCAAAGCTTTATCAGTTCAAGTTTCTTGCTTTTCATAATACTTTTTTCTGATGCAATTTTATATTTTCAAACATGGCAAGTTAAATATAAATTCATTTAAATATATAGTTTTGTACTTTTCTACCATGTAAATGTGCAATGTATATAAAAGTTATAATGTGTATTTGTAAATAAATGATGAGTGAAAAAATAAAAAAATTTTAAAAAGCCAGTGGTCTCAATTCCTGTTGATGCAAAAGAAGTTGTTTGGGCTTTTTAGTAAAAATGCATATGATACATTTGCTGAGGAATATACTTAGCACTGAAATTAAGTGGTCAGGGCAGTAGAAGCTCCAAAGCAAGGTAAGTTATAAATCACCTCAGTGGAGTTTGAAAGATAAAGGGATCTGAGGACCAGCAGCTCCTTGTAGGAATGACATATACCTATCACTAACAACAGAAGGAAGACTGTAGATGTAGGTTCATCCCTACAATGTACCAAGCCTAAAGTTTCCTCTTTCAGTACACCATCTTAGCTGTCTTTAGGTTGCAAGCTCATCGCCATAGCCAAGGACACCCTATGTCCTACTTTCCTCATCTAAATAAAGAGGATCTTAGATCTTTGAAAAAGCAACACACATTACAAGGAAAAGTGAAAACAGACTGGTAATATTTGACAAGCACATTCTAGAAATCACAATATCAACTGCAGAAATAGTCATTATAGTGTTGGAATTCTAAGGAGTTGGTGAAGTGAGGCATGGGGGTGGAGGTGAATCTCCACAATGATGTCCATAGTTCGTAGGAATTAAGTATTGACACTGTCAACGTAAGAGAAAATGTGTCAATATCTTGTGGTTTATGTTAGACACTATTAGAGCCTAAGAATGGCACTGAGGGCATCAACCAGTGGTCCCTGTAGTACATCGTAATACACAGGAATACATAACTAGATCATCAACATAAGTTTTCAATTCATTGTGTGATACATATTCAAAGCCTAAGTATATTAAAAATATCAAAGAAATGCAGGATGTTAAGAAGTGAGGGTTGGGACTGAGAGGGAAAGATCAAAGAACAGTCAATATTACCAACAGTGCTAAACAAATAAATATGTTCTTTCTTTTAAAGACCACAACTCAAGTTCTTTTTAAAAGTTTATCCCTTTTGTGGAAACCCTCTTCAATATGAATAATTATTTTAAATTATCACTAGAGACAGTTGGCTCAACTATGATCACCAAATAAGAAATTTGGTGGAGGCAGAGGAGCCTCTTCAGTAGGCAGAGTTTGTATAATGATTAGGAGCCAGTAGGGTTTTGTTGCATTTCCGCCCTGGGTTCTCAGAGAAAGGGGAGGGAGGGAGGTACAGGAAACAAACAGGCTGCCATTAAAAGCAAGAAGACAAGAAGTCGAGAGTTGTAACTTCTTCAGTGCAGATGAGCTACTGGCTTGCCACTAGAGTGAGGCTCTCAGTAAAGGAGAGAGGGCCACGCAGATATGGTTTCACGGCCCTTCCTAGTGTTGATTTGTTACTGGGTCCTGGGATGCTACAGGTGCTTTAAAGCTGCCATTGCTGATCAGAGTAGAAATGTCAAATTTAACAGGCACCGATGTGTTTCTTGGCAAGGGGAGTGATAAAATCAACAGCTTGTCTTTTAAACAACATCCAGATTATTTATTTAAAATTTTTACTCCATATTTGTCAGCATGAATCATTCCTCTTAAACACCAGACAGTGTTACATTTTCCTTCCTGGAGTTCCCTACTTTTCCAGTAATCTTGCAGCAGGCTAATTAGTACCAAAAAATACAAGTCTCTTTTAAAATTAAAATTAGATTAATATCATTAGACTACTGTTAGAATTTCAACTATGACCCAAAAAAGTCTAATTAACGTATGAGCATAATGTAATTAATAGAAACAGTTTCTAGTAACTAATTTTAATTAGTATGACTACATCTTAACCATCATTAGGAATTACAAAATATAAAGTAATCATAAAAAATCTATTGCAAGTCTAATTTTTATCAGATGTGCACTTAAATTAAGACTTTTATATGCTATATAGGATATGGTTCCTCAAGTATGACAAAAATAAAATCTGGCATAATTAAAATCATTCTCAAACATGGCAGCTAAATTCAGTATCTGACCCTAGACTGGATCCAGAACCTTAGGGGGAAAATGCTATAAATAACAGTATTGGGTCAATTGACAAAATCAGAATACTGTCCAAAGATGAAAATATTACATCAATGTTAAATTTACTGAAATTGATTACTGTACTATGGCTATGTAAGAGAATATTCCTAGACTCAGGAAATATATACTGAAGTATTAGGAGAAAGAACCAAAATGCATGTAACTTATTCTTAAATGATTTAGAAAGAAAAAATATTTCAGGTTTTATTGGTTTTTTAATACATATTCAAAGACAGAGTGGACAAATGATAAAGAAAATGGAGTAAAATGTTAACAATAAGGGAATCTGAGTAAAAGCGTACTTTTATTACTATGTTTATTTTTGCAACTTTCCTGTGAGTTGAAATCATATTCAAATACAAAGTTAAGCTGTTAAAAAAGTCATTCTCAAGAAAGAGAGATGCACAACAGACTACTTCTCCTCGTTCTTTAAGGAAGCGACTGAAATATCAGTCATTAAAAAAATAATAATTTTATGTGTCCAAAAGACTGGAAAATAATTCTAGTAACTTTAGCAAGGCTACTTAGAGAATCAAAATAGGCAGTGTGAGAATTCTTGACACCTAAACCATACCCACGCTGAGAAACAGTCTTTCCTTTTCTGTAATCATCTTAAAATTTACAGTGATTAGTACCTTAGCTAAAAAACTCCAATGCCCCTGTTCTCCCCACTGCTTGCTGTATATTATTTGACAAGTAATTTAACCTCTCTGTGCCTCAGTTTCCTCATCTACATAATCAGGATCATGAAATTGCCTCCCTTATAACAATGTGTCATGAGGATTAAAAGAGATAAGATGTATAAAGTGCTTAAATCAGTGCCTGGCACATAAAGAACAGTAAATGGGTGTTCTCTAGTATTACAATAATTGTTATTCATTAAAGAAAAAAAAGGTGGTATTATGACTCACCAATCAAACCCTACCTTGAAAATGCAGTGAATGAAAAATAGCACCAATTGAGACCAGAAGCACAAGTATAAACAATCTCTAAAATGTAAGGTAAATACAATTTTAAAATATTTAAGCCACGTTAATACTTAAGAAAACTTCATGAACTTCAAGGTGCTATAGCAAAAGTGTACAGTTCAAAATAACAGGTTCAGATATATTATTTCCTGTGGGAATTGAGAAAAAACTCGCGCACCACCAACATTTCCAAAGCCACAAAATGCCTTTTGACCTTTCATTCACACATCCAACACAATTACTGGTAATAAAATAAATTAAATCAGTCTTTAATTTGGATACAATTTCCTACATGAGGACTATAGATCCCTGAAGATAGTAATGGGGCAAACTATTTCCAAACTATCGAAAATCCTAACAGAAAATGTGCAATTATCAGATGTAAAAAGATGCATATATTATTTAATTAATAAACTCATATCTTAAAGAAGATTTTTCAAAACCTGGGTCCTAAGAGTGACACAACTCTGTTCTTCCCTTTCCACTTTCCATTCAGAGCACCACACAATACTTCTTCAGCCAAAAGCTGTCATGTAAATAGACTCCTGGCATGCCTGCCCTACGTATTCAGCAGACCTGCCCAGACATGTCCAAATCCCGGCTTCTATTTTGCTGGAATCCCCCCATGAGTACTGGATGGTCCCTGGGGTTTGCCATCCTTGGACCTCAGATGTCTTGGCAGGTGTCATCAAGATTCCTGTGGCAGAGTTCATCAGACACTTAAAAACATATTCTCTGGATTAGACCAAATGTAGTCCTGGCAGAGCTGTAATTTGTCATTTTTCTATTTTAAGAATATGGCCAGGGAACCAACTGGCAATGTTGGGAGCTAGATATATTCCCACCAAACATCTCTTATATTCATACCCCAAGGACTCAAGTCTCTGGTTAAAGAGCAAGTATTAGCTTTTCTCAAGAATTTGGGGTCCTAGCGAGATGTTAGAGGCAAAAGTCCTAATCTTGATGAGGAAGATTCCAGTTCCAAAAGAAGACCTTAATAGATCTCTACCTTTTCCAGCACCAGAAAAACCAATGGGATGTTTTCATGGTCGTGGTGCAGCCCATAAGCAGTGATGGCAGTGAAAGAACAAGGTGAAGGCCACTCTCCACAGCTTCTCGATACTGCTGTGAGCCTATGGCCCAATGACAACAGGTATCAAAGGGGTTGGATTACTCAAAAGTCAGCAATAATTAGAACTCCTAAGGTAGCATCTTCTGTAGGATTGGTACCCCAGGAGAAGTCATCCAAATGGACTTAGGACAATTTATTCATCGGATATGTGGAACCAGGACCTAGTCAATAAAATTCCCAAATATAAACAGTGCTGCTCCAAGTGTACAGTGCCTGGACCAGCAGTACCAACATGGCCTGAAAACTTGTTAGAAATACAAGTTCTTGAGCACTACCCCAGAACCACTGAACCAAACTCACCGAGGGCAGAGTCCAAGAATTTACAAGAGGTATGGTTTAATGAACTCTTCAGGTGATTACAATACATGCTAAAGTTTGAGAACTACTGCTTTGGAATCATTTCACACTCTGAGTGAGCCCCAGCTACCTGATGTTCCAAAGGCAGCCAGAGTACCTATGCATGAGTGTCTGGTAGGGCTCCAGGGGATCCATGTTCAGCCCTGTTCCCCCAGCCTGACCTGGCTGGGATTCCCATATATAATTTGGTTCTGTGTACCTAGTGGGGATAAAGGCACTTGGCCATAGGTATGACAAGGCATATTTTTCCTAACAGAATATTCTCACTCTCCACTATCTCAAGGGAAACCTTCCCAGTGAGACTTAAGCTGGGCTGGTTAGGAGTTGTGAACTTGCCTCCACCATCCCTTCCAGCCATATGTATTAGGAGGTCTGTTTGTCAAGAAGAGACTAGAATTTTAAATAAAAGGTAATTGATATTTCAACCCAATCCTCCCTTAAGTTGACGAGTGGTCCACTTCCCTTCCCCAGCACTTGTCTGCAACTTCTTCCAGGAGTTCTGGATCATCTCTTAGAGTAGCTCTTCAGCCTCATTCATGGGTCAGAAAGCCATAACTGTTATTCATCTCAC